CCGGGGCGTTTCCGAAGCCACGACCGCACTCGGCTAACCATCTGGTCACAAGCGATTGATTAACAGTGTTATCAACTCGCACTTAGACAGGATATGACGCAGCTACAGCAGTGCGAGATAGTTCTCAATGATGATTTCATCGCGTACCTGTTACCAACCTATTCTCTGTGCATTCAGCGATCGATCACGTGACTGAAGGATGAGTACTGCAACATCCCGTCTAAGTCTGGGTTGATCGCACCGCTGATCGGCCGCTAATGACAGGAAGGTTGAGTATTCAAACAAGTAGCTGGGAGGTCACGCGTTCCAAATCACCCGGAGTTTTTTTATGTACGCACTTCCGATGATTCCTCATAAATGCGGGACAGTTGTGCATTACCTCTCGGCTTTTCAGCATATATTGGCCTCAGTTGCTGGAAGAAATCTTCAGTGATAGTTCCATAATATTCCCACACAGTCAACAACAATCACGCCTTGTTTCACGTTGAAAAAACCACCTGGACTCATGTCTTCTACAAATACGTTCCAAATTTTTATCGTGTAATCTCGTAACTTTTCATACTAGGAGATTTTCCGAAATCTCAGTGGACTCTATCGTGTTGTTTTTTGTTTCGTTGCAGTACAAAGGATAGAAATTTTCCCTCTCGATAAACGTCTCATCGCACTGCTAAGTATTTGAGTTGCAATTCTGGTCATGGGATCTGTGACGTCTGTCCAGAGAACTAATTCAACCAATTTCCTTGCCAGATGCTTAATGGATTTTCTTCTAATGGCTATAAAATAATGCCGCAAAGAGAAGCGCGTTTGAATCATTGTTTATGGATGTTCTCATGGCAACGGTGAACGTGAACCGACTAAGAATATCACTTCATTGAATGTACCTTCATTACTGATATGTTGAAGTCAAATATAACAATGATAAAAAGTCGCGTTCCTCATCTTCTTGATGAAACTCAATCGTGTGAAGTAGGTATTGGGCTGACGAATAGTTTCTGTCTCACTAACCCGTGGCATTGCATCCGGGACAATGACCCTGATATTTGGAATACCGGTAAAATTGAAACACGAGATGGCGTTTGCCCAAAACATTTGGCTGAGAAGTTTCATAAAGAAGACATCTAGGAGCTTACTTCCTCTGAAGTTGTTATTCTATTATACCCGAATGAAGACCCCGGTGAAGGAAAAGGCCCACCCAGCAAGAACATGACAGACGCAATGCACTACTCACAGGGTTGCTGAAAATTATTCGACAACTCACGACCGGGTCAGCCCTCCCTGGAGCTCATCAGGTAGGCGCAGTCCCCGAGTTTCCGCCAACACTATCCTTTACTTGAAGTAACAGTGCACAAAATTTGTAAGACTCACCTGCAGTCCCCGTGAATCTCGTGTTTACGATGTTTTTAAACAAAACCGAGAACAGAACAGGTTTATCGCGAGCAATCTACGCATAATTTGGGACGCACGTTTGACCTTGAATCAAGACTGTCCGGTCGATATGGGGTAACTGATTGGCACTGTTTTTGGGTCACGCCCGAGTACTTTAGCATCGTCAATCGTCACTGATTGGCTGCTTGAACGTTCAATCAACAACTGACTTTTCTGTCCCGTACACTTGACAGCCTTTCTGAGGTGTTTTTGGCGGAGTTAGCGTTTCGCAATAAATATTGGATGTACTAGGGTTATTTTCAGGAATCTTACCTTCCTGACACAGCCTAACCAGTACTGGCTGATTTTAAACAATTCTCGAGTAACTGAAAACGTGGAAACTTCTGTGGCCTCAAGTTTTTCCACGGCATTATGACCTCTTCATTCTGAATCTTCAAGAAATGAAGTAAATCCAGTGAAGGTCGGCCGTGCCTCACTCTAATGACGCGCTCATCTAAAAACATGAGCAACATTGCTGAATTAAAAACCATACAATTCAATCCACTGATCGTTTGACTTGTTCCTAGTGGCGACCAGAACAGACAGTGTTATCACTGTTTAGTAGACGTTCAAATGTACTTTTCAGTGCCCAATGCAACAGGGACAAATCACGCGGCTCCGATTGGTTATGATAGATTCGTTTCTCGAGCTGATCGGTCAGCGTCAGGAATGTACACCTGAGGCAACGAATCAAATTGAACATGGCTTTCAAATGTCCTGGCTAAACAGGTTAAGCGGTTTTCGCTCTCCATCAACATTGGACAATTTCAGTTTTGTAGAAGAGCAATAGGGTCAGAAATGTTGGGAGTTTTGAGTTGATTTTGAAAGAGTTGTAAATCAATCGAGCAAGCAAGGTCGCGTGTCGTTAATTTGGGGAAAAAATATTCCCATCCGGGAGAAGCGTGAGTTAGGTACACCCCTGTACGATTCAAAAGAGTTCACCATGCTAACTATGAACAACCGAGTAAAGTTTAATCGGCCACAGTGTAAAACGAAGCACTAATCTTTTCAGCTGATACGTCAGTTTGAACTTTCAATAAACCAGCTTGTATTTTAGCACAAAACTGTCTACCCCTTCCCATTTGCCTAGCTTTTTTTGGCATGAAAAGCCGACAACAAATCTTTCGGCTTCCTCTGTTTACAGTCACCTCGGAAATGTCTCATCGGACATAGTGCTTGGAATGTGATTCGTCCGTTTCCACTCGCAACTGGCCTTCCGCAGACATTACTGGCGTGTTAAACTTTTCCACGATGACAGCCAGAAGGTCTTGAATATCTGAACATTTTTGCAATTCAGTGATTTTTTACTTGCGTGTGACGTGGGGCATTTGAACTTTAATGACTGTTTGGGGCGCTCAGTATTCGCACAATGGAAGTGAATTTTCGAAAGCTATGACGTGTGTCTGATGGACTAAAGCAATCGGGACAATGAGTTCAGAGTACCAGTCCACACTTTTGAGCCTCATTTAGGCATCTCGGAGTCTCTAGGATGCTGGAAACTTATTCCACCAGACATTTCCGCGAGAGGTATTATTGTCCCAGTGGACAACAAAATTTGGTAAGCTGCAATGATATGAACGTAGATTAGGATAGTTTTTGATTTGAGCACATACGCGACAAAATGCAATATTTTGGCGCGAAAAGTTTTGCTCCACACGCAAAGGTTTTGCAGCTGAGAGGATTGTGCAGCTAATGGGCCACACTCTTTGGCCTATTTTCACTTGGGCGTACTCAGGTTCAGTCTTTTTCATGTTACTTGTGTTCCCGCTAGTAGAAGTAGTGTGGTTGCTCAGAAACATTGTCGGTTGGCTCGAGGTAGCTCAGTGGTTAAGGCGTGAACTTACTGATCGGAGGGTCCATGGTTCGAACCCCTTTCGACTGCTCCCAGCTAGGCTTGTGCAACCTGACAGTAACTTAACCCGCGTACACTCTTCGTGAGGTGTTGAAGCTGAACGATTTTTTTCTGTATTGATTGCGCCGAGAAGTTGTTAGTAAGTTACCAGAAATGGTCGGTTAGGTTTTTGTATCTTGGCGTGAGAATGGATGATAAGCGCAGGCCTTCTCAGTTCTGCGCAAGTTTGACGAAATAAATCAAAGTCTGAGACGGAGATAGCCTTCTTCGTGATTCAATGGCTGACTTGGGATCTACCGTTTCGATCTACCTTGATCCACCTTTGAGTGTCAAGTGGTAACCTATTTGTCTTGCTGACATGTGTTGCAAATCTAGGAAAACTCAAAGTGGACTTGTTTGAGTGGCATATTCCGAACCGGTAGCTTGGTGGTAGCCAGCGCTTCCTCGAGGAATGCTGACTAATGAGACGTAACTCTGTGACCATCCAGTCGTCGAATTAATGAGTTACTCGGCGGCTGGTTTGACAGAGAATGACTCCAGAATCAAAGGTGCCAGTCGTACAAACTGGTTGGCATATGTTTCTTTAAGAGGCAATATCTTAAAACTGTTGATGCAAAGATATGCTTCTGATTCTTTTACCCCAACTAGAGAGCTCTCAGCAAGGACTAAAGCAGAAGCTTTCGGGATCTGACCAAAAAATTTGTCGAAACTAAGGTGTACACATCGCTTACTCGTTGTGAGATACGCACCTGTAGGAATTTGCCAGGTGGGTGGTGAATCTGATATCATTAATCGGGTTTCACAATCCTTCACAAGTGGCCATCCAGTTTAAGGTATCAGTCTTTCGTGATGGATTCTAATTTCTTGCAGGCTTTGACGCAATAACCGGGCATCGTGAACAGAAAGGAAGGGGAGTTCGGAACAAGGATAGACTGATACAGTTGCCTCAACATGTCTGTTGAACGAAAGCGTTTGTTAGCGAAATACACTCACCTGCATACCAATCTGGTTTTGACGGGTGATTAAACTGGGTTCAGAGAGAACATAAAGTTGACGGAAACCCGAGAACTGCGCCTAACTGATGAGCCCCAAAAAGGGCGAAAACGGGCGTGTGCTTTTGAAGAGTTTTCAGCAACCCCATGAGTAGTATACTGCGTCTTTACAAGACGTTTGTTGTTCTGTTTGTCCACCAAGGTGGGTCTTTGATTTTCAGTCAAACACAACATGCGCTCTTTTCCAAATATAATATAGAATAAAACGCGATACGGAACACTATAAAACATGTATAGTTACAATGTTCTTGGTTACTCACATGTCTCGTTGCCTTAAGAACCGCCACTCAGAGGTCGAAAGACATTTATTCTGACAGTCAGTGGGCTAACAGGCATCTTTCTAGCATCAATCTTCCCCCTGTCATTTTGGTGCAGTTTACCTCGGCTGTCTGCGGCAAGTGAACATCCCTCAAACGAGTCAACTTGGTATGGAGGATGAGGTACCGTTCTTGTCCAAACTTGCGGACGGAAGAAATAAGGGTAATTCTCAAGTCACGTGAATTTTTTCATCATAACTTTCGTCACCCGATAAGCCCGAGGTTCTTGACGTGCGCAGTGCAGGTGGTTTTACTGTGTGCTGTGTCTCTTATTTTTTCATGACTTAACTTGAGTCATCTTTGTTCATAAACGGCCTTTCAGGTTCTGTCTATAAATTTCTGGTTTCGACAAAATGATATTCACCAATTTCGGTCAAAACAGATTTGCTTTCGGGCATGAAAAACAACATCAAAAGTTTTAATCAAGATTGTTGCATATCCGGCTACGCAGGAAACAAAACGGCATGAGTACATTAGAGGAAACGGTGTTGTTCCAGTACGTCCTTTTCAATCATGGTGGCTGTTTGCTCATTGTTCTGCATGTTGCTCAGGAAATGTGTTCGGAATTCTGATGGGCCGCGGACTGCGCTGAGGGGGAATTAAGCCACTCGTCCAAAGACACGGCGACAATGGATTTGTGCTGCTTCGCCAGCTCGATTCGTTGTTTATGCTGTGTGAAGTCCATATCCTTGCTTTTCATCAGCCTCCTGCGTGATCCAGCCTAAGTCGGTTTTAAAAAACACAGAAAAACCTAAAGGGACCCTGTTCGTAAGGTTGCTGATAAACAAAACTTCTTTGTCTGTTTGTTTGCGAGGAGAATAATACACCGAAAAGTTCTAAAATGTAGTCAGTCGTGCTACATCCTTCCTGACAAGAAAAACGCCCGTGGGACCACAGAATAATGTTGCAGGAAATTTTTATCGTGTTCGGGTGTTGTTGTTCCTACTCTATTTTCGAACGAAATAACCACGCGATGTTCATGTCTCTTAAAACGTTTGCAGGTCAATTGTCATACTCGGCGTTCAGACGAATAGCCGAATGATCAACGATCAAGATTTTCTACATTTTAACTACTTATATTGATCAAGTAGCCTGATTCCTATGCTATGTTAGGGAGCAGACTGAGATTGTGGGTAAGTTGGGTGGGCGACAGGAATACGGATTTACATAAGTTCATTCACATGTATAGGCTGCCGGATAAAATGATGGACAATGCGAGTTTTCTCCCCTTATGCCTCTAAACTGTATGAAACATGCGAGATAATACAATCGGTTCGCACGCTTCAATTCCGCGTTCCGACCACTAGTTATCCTCATCCGAAGTGTGGGCAATCGTGTTTCTCTTTGACCTCCATTGCTCATTACTGTTATCTTTTCATCTATACCCACCAAGTTTCTAAAAATTCTGGTATAAAGTAAGCTCTTGTCAGTGAGTTCGATTATTCATTTTGTCTCATAAATTCAGAGATTTTTCTACTGAATCTGGTCAGGTATGGAGATCCCATTGCTATGAAGTAAAGTTGTTTGTTGTAGGAGGTTACTCTTGTTCAGGGGTTCCTGATTGGAACAAATATATAGATCTGATCTATTTGTGCCAGACATAGTCCTGATTCTAGGGTCGATTATGCCAAGAACTCCTGGATTGCTGTTTTATGAGGAGAGTTGGTCGGGTGGTGGGGATGGATGCTGGGCATAGTACAGTAAAATGAAAACCCGGCTACATGACTAGCCATCGACCAGTTTGAGAAATTCTACAACAGTGGCCTTTCAAGGAGAGACTGATATGAAAATTGGACATCATAACCCAGGCTTCTTTTCTTCAAAAGCTGTCTCCAATCTTTCCAACAAGTAAATTGCATCGTTCCCGAAACGGCGAAAAGGCTGTGGTGAACCGGTGAACCTAGTGTTAATTATAGGGTGTTTCCCTTGTGGAAAGTTCTTCTTATGTTAGCCGTGTTTCAAATTCTTAGAATGTCTTCCGATGTCCCTGGTTTATATGGAATAACAGCAACCCCAATGCATTCCCTGTTGGGTTTAGCCACCGGTACCAACACCCTTCGTAAATGGCGCTAAATCAAACTAACTGGATATCCAATAGCCCGAAGTTTCTTCCTTACATCGGTTTCGACCACTGTCCGATCAACCTTTATGCACAAGGCCTTTACTGAGCCAAACACTGATGAGACAATACTAGCGAATTCCGACATCGGATGGGTAGACGAGCATTTGAAAATATCCCCACTGTCAGTCGGTTTCTCACACACTGTGGTGTTCAGTTTGTTCCGACCTTTGTGTTATGCAGCCTAGGAATTGGGGTCTACTCGAACTTGACTCCATACAGCTTGCGAAATTACAGGTGATTTTACCCTTCCAGGACTACACTCTAAGACAACTCAGCAGACTTTCTCCTCTGCTCTGCGGGTTTGGCTGCCCACACACTGAGTTGTACGCGCTTGCCCATCCAAATCAATGGGTCCTCTTCACGAAATCGATACAACGTCTAGCTACATTTGTTTTGTGTTTCTCTGTGACGTGAATCGTCTAGCCCACGTCGGTCCTGCCCATGGTTGACCTTCAACGTTTTGTACTGATGCTTTTACATGCAGCCTCGCGGTCTCTTCTCCGGACTGGTCAAACATTTTAGCATGATACACTATCAGTAGCCAAGCAGCCTTTACCTTGCTTCCACCTGACATGCATGAGTGTTGTTCGTCACGTGATGGCTGAGCAACTTTAGAACCCTCGAACGCTACGGAGACTTCTGAAAGAATTACGTCACAAAAGCAATTTCACCTTCGGATGCATCTTCTGCTTAAAACTATATAGCTAAAGTTCACTTGGACTATTATTATGGTGATATGAGTAACGATCGTTTTGCCAAATTCATCGCCAACAATGAAATACAAACTAGATTTGTGGAGCTCTACCAGGGAGACGGAGATCAGACTGACAACTATTCTGTTCGCCGCGCTGGGCAGTTCAGTTGCAAACGTCTCCTGACCTATCTAGGTGACTTCATTAGGGCATGATGAATTGGTCTAAGCACCAAACGAAACCCCCTCTGACGACAGGACTTTCAATTCATTTATATCAAGAGGGTAACTCTTTCAGAGATCTTTGAAAATTTCGGTAGCATAACATTCTTGAAAGATTCTACATTGGACTGTACAGTAATTCGAATCACCCAGTAGTCGAGGCAACACATCAAACGATACCAAATTGTCTCTCTCCTTCCGCGTTCGGAGAGGACTATTCGCGGTTCGTCTCGTTTTGCTGATAGTTTCAGCTACGTAATCGGCTCTGTACACGAATTAGAATCTATCGGTCTATCATCTCATCCAATTGGTCTGTTTCCTTTCCGTTTTTTGGGGTTCTTCTAGGTTTTAGATAAGAGGTGCCCTTAGTTCGTATGACAATTCTGCACCACGGGAGCGCGTACAGCATGTTCTGATCATCTTCTTTCGGACATGCAGATGTATCGCCGAAATCGCCGGCCCGCCCAATCCCCTGAAACATATTTCAGTAATACACACCATCCGAACAGGGTATCCAGCAAAAAACATTGTTTTTAGTCAGTACTTTAGGGCGATTCTCTTAAAGATGGATGAACGGAAAGTGACCAGGTGACCTTGGATCTGTTTACTGAGCTTGCGAACTGAGTGGATCGATACAGTTCTCGGCGGAAACCTTTCAGGCAGTTTCTTCATTTTTGGCATCATCATTTAGTGGGTTTTCGATTCCAAAGCCAAGTTCTCTGCTTTGGTGAGATATCCATGACCAGAAGGGAGAGAAATACAACATAGAGTACTCTCATTCGTTGCTACAGGCCCTTGTACTTGTGATAGGACTTCATTAAACAAATTAGCGACGACCTTTTCATCGTGATTCTACCGTACTCTCAGCACTTTGGAGTTAGTCAAATGTTAGACGAATGCTTCGGATTCGATCCGCTTTTTGTGATAGCTAACCAACCCCACTCTGCAAGACTGCAGAGCTTTCTTTTAGATGTTGTTTACTGCAGGCTTCATGTACAGACAGTGAGAACTTGTAATGCCTTCCTTACTCTGTCTGGCACATCTGTGTTCAATAGATCACGCGACTCGCCTGTTCCGCAAGCGCACAAATCACGTGATGAACCCTGTCCCGCTCGCAACCTTGACCGATAACATATCAGCTCCCGTCTCGTACGCATTGGGATGATTCTACATAATGTACACGCGTCAAACCTTCCTATATATAGGAAGAAACAACACAGTCAACTCGCGCGAGCACAGGGCACAGAGAATCAGCCAAGTCCACGTGTAGAAGTTATACTGCGGAGAAAACACGTTCTCGCCGTCTGGACTTTCACGCAGAAACTCTCACGAGTGATCCACAAACGATAGGTCACCTTTTGACCTATTCCACTGTTCGCACTGTATTTATTTATTTCACATAATAACTATAAACAACTATCAACCATAATAAAAACGGTTGTTAATGCATACACCTTCTGACTGTCATTTATCATCATTGAAAGTTAGAAAGCGCACTCCGAAACACAGGACTTACATCCAGGTAAACTGTCAGTCCGAACACGACTGCTCCGAGGCAGTAAGCACTGAGCAACGTGTAAACCACATATTGCTCCTTGTCTTTCAGACCGGGGTACTTGGCGAACACGCTTCGTGCAATCGTATGCCACACGGTGAGAATGACAAGCATGAAAAAGTTGGCGAGAACCATTTTATCCTGAAATAAAGATGGAGAGGCTTTGTGGACACGGGCAGGGGGCTCCATTTATCGAAGTAATGTCTTCCGGGGGGACGTAGATCAGACAAAGGGAAAAACACCACCGCTAAGGAACAATCGAAAGAGTATGTGGGAGAAATCCACAAGTGATCCGCAAAATGAAGGACTTATTTCGGACAAATAATTCATGAAAATGGCTCGGTTTTATGCTACCAGATACAACTTTTGCTTCAGACCAGATAGAGTTTCAAAGATTGCTGTCCTAAGGCACCACAATTGTCGAAGCCAGGCAAATTTCTACTCTTCAAACTCTAATTGACAATCCGTCTTCGGGATCGCCGTCGGAAATGGCTACTGCAAATAGCCTTTTCTTGAAAATACTGTTCACTGCCTTCGCTCCGTGTAGTTATTCCAAAAAAGTGTAGGTTCAAGAAAAGAAAAAGACAAAAAAGCCTACAGAATTGTTCCATTGAGTGTGTAGTGTCTGTAGTCCATTGTCACATTTATTTACAATTTTGGGGTTTTGCGGGATAGGTATTTTGTTCATAGTCACACCACTGTCGTTTGAACGGTCGTATTCCTGTTCTGGCGTAATTATTCCGGTGAGTCCACAGGAATACGACCGTTCAAACGAGAGTGGTGTGACATTTTTGCTGAACTTAAACTACCTTTTGTAACTGTTGTACATATTTTATAATGAAGTTTGTTCTATTGTACCAATAATTACATCAAAAAAGAAAATGATGTAATACACAAGTTTCCGGCGCAACTTTCTGACTTTTGATGAA